TCCAAAAACGACGATATCATTGAAAGTGAAACCGCATGACATTAGAAATAACTTTCTGCTTATTTTGATCGCTCCGTATGGCACTGCTATAAGTTCACAGTTTTCCAAACGGTTGCTGAGGGTTTTGAACTCGTTTTCTAAGTCCAATGGCCGTAAAAACAAGCGCTTGTTGATCTCATCAACTCGTAAAATTTTTGCGTCAAAGCAGTTTTGCAAAGCTAAAGTTAGTTTTGCTGGTACCAAATTTGCGCTAGCCATCAGATACACTAAAAACTACGAGCCTTATGCGAAAAAGTAAAATAAAATATAAAGTAAAAGAAGAATAACCTCAGTTAGAAGGAGGGAAATAAGGAAAAAATAAACCTCACATAATACACCGTCATGGAGAAGCCACAAATCTTTACCTTCCGCTGGAGCAACCACTAAGCGATTATCGAACGCTGATATCATTGTCAAAAAACACAGTCTTATGGACAAGCTGGAAGTGGAGAAATTGACCTTTCTAGAAACCTCTTCTTATTTCATTAATCGAACCATGGCAAGATAAGTTGTGAGGAGAAATTACAGTCTCAAGATGGTGTTATAGTAAAATTGTTCATACACTAGAATCTACGATATTTTGTTGCATGGTTTCCTCATGGTTTCCTCCAATTACTCCACTCCACAAGACTCCTTTCCATAACGGCCTGTTAATTTTAGGAAAGCTATATAACCATATAAAGTGTGAGAGCTGGACTTAAATATGTGGCTATAAACGCAGTCTATGATGACGTTTTCTGTCGCTGAAATAGCACCAGTTTTTCCGAGTAATCCCTTCACCAAATATTCCTGCAGCAACTTAGACGGTTATGTCCCTTCCCAGAAATGTCGCTCAAACACGTCTGCTGGGCATGGCGCTGGAGAAAAGTGATTGGTTTGTCACTGATTCTAGCTTGTCATATTTATTAACTTTTAGGCCCTTTTGTACGATGACTGACGTAGTTTTTACACTTCAAAGCTCTCCTGTAATTTTCGCTACTGCAGTTTGAGTGCATTTTAAAAAAATTGTTGTTGATATAATCTGTTGTCTGCGTTAATTAGAAGTCTTTTTCTTTGAATTTCTTTCGCCAAATAGAAATCTGGAACTCATAAATATCTTAACGAGGAGGGTTTTATGGTATTAGTAAATCTGGTTTAGACAACGTAATTGGGCATCAGAAGGCTCTTAACGTGCTGTAGAATTTGGTTTTTGATATCGACTTTTTGGTTTGTTATTGGGCAGTTGTATCTACTAAGTTGGAAGTTAAACGGAATTTACAAGCTGTAATTTCATAATTGGGATGACGAAATAGCAGTAATGCTTTACTGTGCTCCAGTTTTCCGTCTTATAGTGGGCATTAAACAGTCAAAAGCTGCGAAGATCTTTTCAACGATTTATACGTATTTTGAAAGATTGTTAATCACGGATGAGTTCCATGTCCGTTCCACATGCAACTTCTGCAGTAGCCACCTTTTTACGCTTTGTGAGGGTTGGAACTCGCTTATACTTTTAATGTATAATCTTTATTGCACGTAGCACATATTCTTAAATATCTATTTTTTTTTAGAAAGTTTCTAGCGTTTTCGAGTCGAAAAACCATGCCAGGATACCAAACTACAGTAGATACCTTCACCTCAAGAAAATTCTACGTATTGGATCACTATAAACCGCATAACTCCTTAGCTGTATAAGTTCTATAGCCTTCCAGTATCTGGAACCTCTAGTACAAGTGCTACATTTTAGCTTTTTTTTGATATTCACGCCGTTTATTCTTTCAAAAGCCAACTGCATTCAAATTAAGTTTAAATTTTTAGCTGATTTCGCTTCTTAAATCTACAGTGCTGTTGATATTTGACTGGGAAGGCAGTGTTCTAAAGAAAATATTCAAAATTTTTTTCTAAATTTTTATACATACTAGAAATAACGTGTTAGCTGTACAAATTAGAATTTATAGACACTTCTATCTTTTACGTGATAGTCCGACATGGAGTACAGTGGATTGGACCGTACCACTTTTAGAGGAAAATTGTTGAAATACATTATTGAGCCACTGCTTGTCTTCGCTATTGGTTTCGATTTTATTATCATATTAAACACGTAAATCTATTTATTCTGTTCACTTTGAGTAAATTTTTCTGTTTTTGGGCTATAGCCATTTTTCAGATTATTCTTCCTTCCCTTGTCTATATCCTCATTTATCTGTGCATATTTTATACTTTCTCTAATCAAGAACAGGTACCGCTTCAAGTATTAGTTAGTTTATAACGCCGTGTAGATGGTGCTTTAGTTTGCTTTATAAAAGTAGAGGTTGGTAGTAACCAAAAATAAAACCTTATACTTCAGAAACCAAACTTCTGGTTACCGCCAAGTTACTTAACGGTTTGATCAGTTGTTGGCTCCAGTTGTTTCATCATGATACACTATTTCTTGATTATCAAGTTTTGTCATCCTTTACAGTAACGGAGCTCTTGTCGACTGACGGCCAAATATATATATTTCCCGGCAAGCTGCGACTAGAGCGATGTCGCTGTCGTCGCAGCTTCAAGCAGCCGAGGAGACATGTCGATCGCATCAACCTCGGCTAAGGGTTAAGAACTCCTCTTATAATGCCAAAAATGGGTATTGTGCAGTTGCAGATTTATAAAGAATTGTGAGACATTACAGATGGGTTTGACCTTTTTAGCAATATGTTATTAAGTAACGTGGAACAGCAGCATGAGGCAAACGGGGCGATAGAGACTAGAACAGTTTATGGAGCCGTAACTGAACCGGGTGGTATGAGG